GGGGGGGGGGTGTCCACCGAACCCTTTTTCGCATTTAACGGGCGCCCGCACCAACACGCGCCGTGCCTTTTGCAAAGGTGAGCCGAGGTGGCCACGAGGGCCAAGTCAACACCCTGGCAAAGGGGCAGCGCGATACGTGGAACGTTCACTGCGCCTTCGGTCGCCAGAAAGACCAAAGGGCTGCGGGTTTGGCACCACCAGCTTGAAGACAGCGTAAGGCGCCCGAGGCATAAGGGGCTCCTCCGACAGCAAACGGCAGCATTGCGTCGAGTGGGGTGAAATTCGACGAGCTGTCGGGTCTCGTGGCCATTTGAGCCAAACAAGTGCGTCGCGCTTGGCTCCGAGCCGTTCGAGACTCGCCCCAGCCTGGGCCTCGGCATCGACACAGCCCACACCTCCAGTTCAGTCTAGCTTGCCTGCGTGGCCCCACAGCGACTGCAACTGCAGACGGCTTGGCTAGCGGCCTGAGCCCCACTGGATTGCGCCACGTCTCGCCGCACACCATTCGCCATGGCTTGCTCCGCCTGCTTGACCTGGCTTTGCGGATGGCGGGCTCGGGCTTCTTGACCGGATCCTCGAGCCGTGCAGAGTGGCATGAGCACGTCTTCCCCAGCCTCGATCGGCTTTGAGTTCGGTTGGCGACGCCGGGCACCCGAGCCCAGTCAGGCCGGGAAGCTGTCCGGGTAGGATTTTTGGGCGGGCGCGGAGGGGCGTGGTGCGGTGGAGCGCATGCGTGCCGCCGAGTCAGGAGGTACGCGTTTTTCGTCATAAAAATAAAATTGAAAAAGATAAGACACAAAAAAAAAACACACAGACAAGCGCTGGAGGCGCTGCATGCGCTCTCGAGTTTTCGCTCCAGGCGACAAGCCACGGGCCGTGGAAAAATTGAGGCGAACAATCGGGGGTGGAGGGCACAGCGGGGGCGCGCGGCAGGCCAAAAAAGGAGGTGTTGAACTCCATTGACAGAGGCTGAGCCGCCGTGTCAGATGATGCCGCTTGCTGCAGGTGCTCCACTACGGCCAACCGGTGGGCTCGGAATCTGTTGCTCTCGAGCGCTTTGTACGCGGCGTCAGCTGGTCAGCTTTGGCCGGCTGGCGCCTTGACCCTGGCTCTGGAGCGAGAGCGAGACTCGAGTGGAGCTGAAGCTCGAGTTTTGGCCGACGCCTTGGCCGCAACCCCCGGCACGACGAGTGCGCCAGAAGCGGTAGGATGACCAGCCCGGCCCTTACTCCTCTTTGCTCGCGCAGCTGGTCCACACGGAGCACTGCTTTGTTGCTCTCCACGCTGGCACACCCAACCCAACCAGCAAAGCCAGGCGGCGAGCCGAGTATATAACCATCGGCTCTTCCGAGCGGTGCCAGTGCGTCTGTCTTGACCCCATCCTCCTCCGTCTCTCCTCCACGCTCTAGAGCTTTCACCCTTCCATCGGTCCCTCCGACGATCAAGTGCTGATTTCGTTTTGACCGCGACTGCGTGAGATCACCTCCTCGCGAGGCAAGCTTCCTTTCCCCCTTTCTTCTGCTCATCCACCATGGCTCCATCGGTAGACCAGGCTTCGGCTGCTCCGGCAGCCAACGCGCCGTCGTCGCTCGACGATGTCTCCAAGGTCAAGTCGGCGCTGCTCAGCGCGGCCCACTCGACGCCCAGGAGCGGCTCCCACACGCCCATCGACCACATCATCGCAAACACGGCCGGATACACGGACACCGTCTTTGAGGGCAAGGCCGACCAGGCCGCCCAGGTCAAGAAGCTCCTCTCCAGCAAGGGCTTCATCCGTCCCGATCTCGTCGACGCTGAGGTCGATTGGTTCTACCAGTAAGTGTCCATCGCGGCCCTCGCGCCAGCTCCGATTCGCCAATCCACGCACGTTCTTGTCTGCTGACACCCTCGCCTCTGCTTCTGATCACTGCAGGAACCTCGGTATTGACGACACCTACTTTGCCCTCGAGAGCGTCGAGACGGTCGCAGACCACATCCTCGCGCTCTTTGGCGCCAAGATCATGGCCTACACCAAGCACTCCAACAGCCTCGAGATTGACCTCGAAAAGGAGTCCGAGAACGGCGCCGTCTTCATCCACTCGTCGCAGGCCGGCAAGTCGCAGGCAGAGGGCCCCCAGTGGGAGCGCCGCATCGACGCCAACTACCTCGACAAGTCGTCCGTCGAAAAGGCCTACCGCCTCGAGACCTACCGCTCCGCCGGCTCGGTCTCGGCCCAGTCGCAGCAGCAGCTCCGATGCTACTTCCTCGCAAAGTGCAACTTTGTCGAGCCCCGCCCCGCCCCGGACTCGCCCAGCTACGCAGACATCCGCGCCGTCTCGGACAAGATCTTCCTCACCAAGGCTAGCGACAACACGCTCGACATCTACCAGAGCATCATGGACGAGGTCCTCCGCCGCCAGGGCCCCGTCATCGAAATGTTCGAGGTCGAGGGCAGCCGCGAGCGCAGGATCGTCATCGGCTACCGAATGGGCACCACCAACAGCTTCTTCAGCGCCCTCTCGGACCTCTACCACTTCTACGGCCTCTTCTCGTCGCGCAAGTACGTCGAGCAGTTCTCCAACAACGTCACCATCATCTCGATCTACCTCAACCCGCTCCCCGCTTCCAACAGCCCTCCCATCGAGCACTCGATCCACCAGGTCATGAAGGAGGCCTCCCTCATCTACGTCCTCCCGGACAACCCCTTCTTCCAGCCCGCTCTCGCAGAGAACACCCACGCCGTGCAGGAGGCCACCTACGCCTACGTCGGC